CCAGCCTCGTTCTCGGTGCTGAGTTCCAGCCCTGGCCCATGGTTCTGATCCTCTCTTTCTCTCCTATTAAAGGTTATTACTCTTGGAGGAACCCAGGAAGAGGCTCCTGGTTTGTGCAGGCCCTTTGCTCCGTCCTGAACGAGGAGGGGAGACGTCTGGAGATCATGCAGATCCTCACCAGAGTCAACTACAGAGTGGCTAGGGACTTTGAATCCCAATCTGATGACCCCCACTTCAACGAGAAGAAGCAGATCCCGTGTATGGTCTCAATGCTCACCAAAGAACTCTACTTCTGAAAAGTGACCATCCTGTGGTGCTCTCTAGCCAAGAAGCTGTGGATCATTCCTTGCTGAATCACAGTTTTCTTTTTTTTAATCATTTGAGGCTCTTGAAATATCCAAAACTTCTCATTTTAATTTCAGGAAAATTTATTGATACAACAGGGAAGAAACTTTCTGGTACTGTCTTAATGTGTCTCTGACTTTTCAGGGACTCATTTTTTATAATGTCATTCCTTTGATAACTTTGCAGTTTCCTCTTAAGATTAATTTCTGTTTGTATTTCTTTTACATTGCTATCAAGCTTAGAACATAGAGAAAGATTGACCTCCTGAGCTGACTCTTGGCTGTGTCCACTGTGATTGGTGGTTTCATTGGTAGCAAATTGGATTCATATTTGCACCTGGCAAAGAGAATTCCAGTACTTGACAAAAACAGCTAAGAGGCTATTCATTCACCTATATTGCAGGAAATGGGTATTGAGTGTGCTTTGAGTGATTTTTTTTTAATTGGCTTAAGGCAGATCCTCATGCAAAAATGCTCTGATAAGTTAGAGAAAAAAATATTTAATGATTCTAATATGTGAAGGAATCGAGACAAGAAAACAAATCATTCCAGTTGTTTCAGCAGAAGGAATTTAATACGGGAAATTGATTTCCATTAATGATAAAAGAGAAGCTAAACAGCAGAGAACTCTTACCATGCCTGTGGCTATAGGATTATGGGAGGAGGTGTGGCTCTCAGAGTTGAGAAGCTGGGCCCATCCACAGGAGCTAGCATCCTGATAGAAGTGTCCCAGTGGGAGATAGGACCATGGAAGGAGTGGAAAATGGAGCCATGACAGGAACAAAGCCACTGCCTGCGGTGAAGCCAGTGCAAAAGTCAAATCAGATATGGAGAGATAACCTGGTTTTACCCCTTCTGCCCTGTGGTCTTCCACCAGTGCCTTATCAGCCCATCCCTACCAGGAAGCCATGTGGCACAGAGCCTGGGGAATGTGATTTCCTGTGGTACAGAGCAGAGCAAGGGATAGTGAGGCAGGGAGAAGCAATAAATGGCTGTCAACTTGGCACATAATGGGAATATCAATAATCACTTTCCTTGATGTTCATCAAGTCATCCATGCAATCATTTTATTCATTGTCAGATATCTGTGTATTTCCCACCATGTGAAAAATAATCTGCTTTAGCTTTAAAATATACTTGGAACATTTTAGATTATTCCAAGCCTTATACTGAGTAAATTTTTATTATTTCTAATTCTATAAGTGGGTAAAAGTTTATGACAGAGATTCTTCTACTTTTGTTTCTAAGGTGGTGTTCTCCTTTGAATTCTTGATAAATTATTATTTTATTCTGTTAACTGGTTAGTAAGTAAATGTTCATATTTATTGATTAAAATGTGGTTGCTTTATTCTTAACTTCAGTTTGCTTTCTTTTTGAAGTTATTTATGGCAATAAGGAAATGAGAAAACAGACTGAAAAGTAACCTGCTGATTTGACCTCAATCCAAATATAATACTTTTTCTGTTGAAGCTCAAATACTAATAAAGTAACCAGTAAATATAATCATTTAGGAAGCCTACACTCTTCGCATAAACTACTAATCAACTTATAAAGCTGTTTGTGATGGGCTGCTATTTATTACCTGGACAACAAAAGCAGATGGTGCGAATGTCTGTCAGTCTGTCGTACTGTGGTGGCTAGCATGTTGCTGGGATGCTGGAGGCCATGGCACCAGTACTTCAGCAGGGTCGCCCCTGGTGGACAGGTTTCAGGGGAATTTCCAGACTAAGACGGATTAGGAAGAAGGACCTGGTGGTTTACTTCTGGGAAAACTAGCCAGTGAAAACCTTATGAATAGCAGCGGGACATTTGTCTGACACAGTGCCAGAAGATGAGCCCCTCAGGTTGGAACCAAAACAAAAAACCAAATGTACTCCTGTCAAGTCAGATCCGACTCATAACGACCCTCCTTGAGTTTCCAAGGTGGTATCACTACAGAAGAAGGTCGCCCAACCTTCCTTCCAAGGAGTGGCTGGTGGATGTGAACCACCAGCCTTCTGGTTAGCAGTCAGATGCCTTATGCACTATGCTACCAGAGCTCCCCCTCAAGTTGGAAGGCACTGAAAATACAAATGGGGAAGAACTGCCTCCTCAAAGTAGAGTCCACCTTAATGATGCAAATAGAGTAAAGCTTTCAGCACCTTCATTTGCTGATGGAGTCTGACTCAAAATGAGAGCTGCAAACATCCATTGATAATCACAATGTGGGATGTACAAAGTGTGAATCTAGGAAAATTGAAAGTAGTAAAAAATAAAAGTGGAGCACATGAAGACTGATATTATTAGGCATTAGTGAGCTGAAATGGACTGGTATTGGCCATTTTTACTCAGACAAATGTACGGTCTACTATGCCGAGAATGACAGATTAAAGAGGAATGGCATCACATTCGTTGTGAAAAATAACATTTCAAGATATATCCTGAAGTACAATGCTGTCAGTGATACGATAATATCAATAGGCCTACAAGGAACACCAGTCAATATGACCATTATTCAAGTTTACACACCAACCACTAATGTGAAAGGCAAAGAGATTAAAGACTTCTACCAATTTCTGCCATCTGAAATTGGTCAGGCATGCAACCAAGATGCATTGGTAGTTGCTGGTGATTGGAATCTGAATGTTCAAACTGAGGAAGAAGGATCACTGCTTGGAGAATATGGCTTAGTGATCAAAGTGATGCCAGAGATCACATGATAGAATTTTGCATGACCAATGACTTGTTGCAATTACCTTTTTACACTAACATAAGTGGCAGCTATACACATGGACCTTGCTAGATGAGATACACAGGAATCAAATTGACTACTTCTGTGGAAAGACGTTGGAGAAGTTCAATATCATCAGTCAGAACAAAGCCAGGGGCCAACTCAATTGATCATATACAAGTTGAAGTTGAAGCTGAAGAAAATTAAGTCCACAGGAGCCAAAATATGACCTTGAATATCCACCTGAGTTGAGAGACCATCTCAGCACTAGAATTGATGCAATGACTAATGACCATACATCAAACGAATTGTGAGATAACATCAAGGACATTATTCTTGAAGAAAACAGACAGGAAAGAAAAACCAAAATGGACATCAGAGGAGACTCTGAAACTTGTTCTTGAATGTAGAGTGCCTAAAGTGAATGGAAGAAATGATGAAGTAAAAGATCTGAACAGATTTCAAAGGGCTGCTCAAAAAGACAAAGTATTATAATGAAATGTGCAAAACCCTGGAGCGAGAAAATCAAGAGAAGAACTTGGTCAGTAGTGGGGGGAGAGTCGCCAGGGCTGAGCTACTGCTGCTGCTCAATCAGTGGAACAGCGGGTGGGACTGGGCACTCCGCTCCCTCCTTGCTCGATTCCTCTCCAGCACCCTCTCAAACACAGCACAGTGACAAGAATGACTGGAAGCGACCCCCCATAAGGTTTTCATATAGTGTCCACACAATGTCCAAATTATGTAATGTGCCATTTACAGAGGAAGCAGGAGCCAGGGTTGATGGAGCTGGAACAGGTTAAGGGGAGAGCCCACAGACAGGAAGCAGGAGCCAGGCCAACAGCCGGAGCAGGTTAGAAGAGAGCCCCAGGCAGGAAGCGGGAGCCGGTGGACAGAAAAGGGGAAGGCCAGGAAGTGAGCAGAGGGGTTTGGAACAACTAGGGAGATGAACTTGTCTGTCAGTTTGTCGTACCCCAGTGGCTTGAAAGTTGCTGTGAGGCTGGAAGCTGTGTCACCAGTGTTTCAAACATCAGCAAGGTTGTCCATGGTGGATGGGTTTCAGCAGAGCTTCCAGACTGAGACAGACATGGAAGAAGGAAGGGCTCATCCACTTCTCAAAGAATTGGCCAGTGAAAACCTTATGAATAGCAGTGAAACACTGTCTGAAATATTATTGGACAACTTTATGAATAGCCCTGAAACACTGTCCAACACGGTGCTGGAAGATGAGCCCCTCAGGTTAGAAGGCACACAAAATAGGACTGGAAAAAGAGCTGCCTCATCAGAGTAGAGCCGACCTTAATGATACTGATAAAGTGGAGCTTTGGGGACCTCCATTTGCTGATGTGGCATGACTCAAAATGAGAAGAAACAGCTGCAAATATCCATTAATAATCGGAACATGGAATGTACAAAGTATAAATCTAGGAAAATTGGAAGTTGTCAAAAATGAAATGGAATGCATAAAGATTGATATCCTAGGCATTAGTGGGCTGAAATACACTGGTTTTGGCCATTTTGAATCAGACAACCATATGATTATGCCAGGAATGACAATTTGAAGAGGAATGGTGTAGCATTCATCATCACAAAAAATGTTTCAAGATCTATCCTGAAATACAATGCTGTCAATGAAAGGACAATATCCATACGCCTACAAGGAAAGCCAGTTAATACTATTATTATTCAAATTTACACACCAGCCACCAAAGCCAAAGATGATGAAATTGAAGATTTTTACCAACTTCTGCAGTCTGAAATTGACTAAACATGTAATCAAGATGTGTTGATTATCACTGGTGATTGGAATGCAAAAGTTGGAAACAAAAAAGAATCACCGGTAGTGATTTGGCCTTGGTGACAGAAATAATGCTGGAGATCACATGATAGAATTTTGCAAGACCAATAACTTATTCATTGCAAATACCCTTTCTCAACAACACAAATGGTAGCTGTACACGTGGACTTCACTAGATGAAACACACAGGAATCAGATTGACTACATCTGTGACAAGAGGCAATAGAAAAGTTCAGTATCTTCAGTCAAAAGAAAGGCAGAAGCTGATTGTGGAACAGACCCATTAACTGTTCATATGCACATTCAAGTTGAAGTTGAGTTTGATGATGATGTGTCTTGGTGATTTTCTTTTGGGGTCTATCCTGTTTGGGGTTTGTTGGACTTCCTAAATGGATATATCCTCATCTTTCATCATATCAGGAAAGTTCTCCTCCAGCAAATCTTGGA